TGTTCAGCCCCAGTAATGTCCCCTGTGGTACCTTCTCTTTGTGTTCATGGCACTTCTCACAGTACATACTTGTACATGTATTCTTTGCTCAGGATGTCTTTCTTGTGAGACTTTCAGCTATGTGAGGATAGGGACAATGCTGTTTTTCCATTTCTGTGTCCCCAGGATCCGGCATGTGATAAGCTTTGAGTCAGTATTTCTGCACAGTCTGTCAAAGGGCCATTGTCACTGCCATCTTGTGACTGAGTAGCCAGGTGACCTGCCCAGGGCCCTATGTGGTGGTTCTGGGAATCAAAATGCCCCTCCTGGTCTGTATTCTCTGTCCATGGCCTCCTGGCATGTGTGGTGTTATTTACTTGACATCTAAGTTTCTTAGTACTGTGTGTTTTCAGAGCATAAATATAATCATAATGACTGTGAAACCCTGAGTGGTGGTCAGGATCCAGTGTGAATGTGGAAGTTCCACAGAAAACCTTGATGGGATATTTCACTTTTGCCAAAGAGACAAGACATAAAGACATAGAGCTCAGAATGTAACTGGACGTGTCCATGGCAACAAGAAGTGGAGCTCAAAGGGGCTGGGACCTAGGATGGGCCTGGGCAAATGCTGGTCAGTTTTAGACACAAGATGGGGCCATAAACAGATGGTGGCTCCACCTGCAGCAAGTGTGAGGGGAGCAAGCCAGAGATATATGACAAGGGGAGGGAGCATCCTTGCAAGTGGGTGGAGCAAAGAAATGGAAAATCCTGGTGCCAGCTTGCTTCTCAAGGCCCCTGCCCCAGGGTAAAATCTCCAACCTGGAAAACTGCTGTGGGCAGAGGGATCCAAGCCCAAGGGGTCATCCATACAGTCAACAAATCTTTACTAAGCTCCTATTCTGCACCAGAATTTTTCCCAGCTGAGAATATAGTAGTAAATGAGATCAACAAGACCTCTGCCATCACAGAACACAGTCTAGTTAGGGGAGACAAACAAAACAAACAAAACAAAAGAAAACCCCAAACATAGCACTAGATAAGTGTGTTTAGATAGTGACAAGTACTAAAGAGACTACTTCAACTGAAATGGTCAGAAGAGGCCTGAGATTCAAATAATGATCAAAGCCAGCATGCAAAGATGGGGATGAGAGAGGTGATCCCCAGCAGAAGCCCTTACAGGTAGGAAAGGGCCCACTAACCTAGGCTGGAGCAGACTTGGACAGGCTTTCATTAGTCAATGGTGCACACCTCTTCTCAACTCTGAATTCAGTGACGGCATGCTAATGGCTTGAAATAAGCCATGGTGAAAGCATTTACACCATGGAAATTGGAAAAGCTACAAATGAAGATCATTACCTTCCTGGGTCATCAGCAAGGAGCCCAAGACAGGGGGAGGAGGTTATTACCACAAAAGCAGCAGGTTTTGTTCTGTGGTAGGGGACAGAAAGTCTCTGAGGGGTTTTAAGCAGAGAAGTAACATGATTTATTTAAGTTTTTCTTTGCCAAACAGATCCTACAAAACGAAGACTCATTTCCAAAGAACAGTAAGTGTGGGTAGAAGGAAGGGAGATTGGTTTATCAGAATTGGGGGCCAGGCAAGAGCTGAATCCAGTAACACAGGGAAATCTCCTCTCCCCTTCCCTTGCAGCAGCAACATAAGACCAGAATGAGGCCTGTTGTTACAGTGTGTGTGTGCCTAACCTGGATCTTGAGGAGAAAGGGGGCTAAGGCTGCAGGTGCTGCTCTGCCTATGCAGAGAAGGGTGGCTGAAGCCTTGGCCACCTGCAGCGTGATGGCCATGTCTGTCTAATTAATTTTCAAAGGGATGGCAGCAGCAAGCTACAGAAACCTCTGCATCTCTACAGCTGGAACTCTTGGTTTACCTAGCATGTCCCTCAGGGAGATAAGTGGTTCCAAAATAGCTATAAGTCTCCAAACCAAAACGACTGCATTCTTGCCATTGGCAAGTTCCATGTGACATCTGAGCAGCATTGTTATCCAAGCTGCACACAGAGAATAAAGCAGGTGTTTCTCCACGTTGGGTTGCACATGAGAACTGCTAGGGAGCTTTCCCAGACCAGGCCAATTAAACCCAGAGGTTCTTCTGGTGGTGGGACCCAACCTCAGCATTTTTTAAAGCTTTCTGGGTAATTTCAAGGTGTGGCTCAAGTTGAGAACCGCTGGATTAGAAGAATTTCTGTAGAGTAAGCGGCCAAGTATTTTTCCACATGTTGCCTTGGGAGTGGGTTCTATTGACAGGCAATTCCAGGCATGTTGACAGTGCCTTGTGCCACTCCTTTGGACACTAAGTGAAACCCCTAAGTTCTCCACTGAGTTGGAGCAAAATGCAGTGAGAGGCTGACTATTGCATGACTGGCTTAATCACCTGTCCTTCTGCATTAACTGTGGACTGATTTAATACAGCAGTTGCCACAAAAAATTCCCAAAGAATTTTAAAGGGCTGAGCCTCCCCTTCTGGAGATCCAGTCCCTTTTGCAGATGGGAGATGATGAGTAGGTTCCAGCTGTGCTCCTCAGTAGCTGAGAGGAGTCCCATCAGTGGACCCCAGAAGTTTTAGGTGGATAGGTATAATCAGGTGTCTGGGCATTACATAAAACAATAAAGAAGATATGAAATGTTCCTCTTATATTTTTAAATAAAGAGCAGGAAGGACAGATGTCAAAGGAAAATGAGGTTATTGCTGGTACCTTGTGTTCCGTTCAAAGAATAAAGCATGTAGCAAAACGAACTGGTGCTGTTCTGCCTCTACACAGCCTGGCAGAGAGGAGTTATAGAAAGAACACAGGCTTTTGAAAAAAGGGCTTATTCACTTAACACATATCCTCTGGTCCCTGCTCAGTGCCGCTAGGCTGGAGTACTAGTCTGGTGTTTTGCCATCCTGGCCTCTTGAGCTGACTTCAAAGGAGAGGAGCGAGCCAAGAAGCACACAAGCAAATGTCAAATTGTAATGTGCAGTGAGGGTCCAGTGCAGGTCAGAAAGGCCCAAGAGAGAGAGGCCCCCCCAGGCGGGATGGAGGAGAGGCCTTTCTGAGGTGATATCTTTCCTAAAACCCAAGCATGAGGAACAGCCACAGGAGATCTGGCAGAGAACACTCTAGGAAGAGGGGGATGTCAAGGCCAAAGTGGGAAGAGCTGGGTGCTGCTGAAGAAGTGAGTGGAAGCCCCTTGTGAGGACAGGGAGGTGAGCTAGGAAGGTAGCCAGAGAGAGTGGCGAGGCAGGCAAGGGACAAGATGACTTGTATTCTGAGCCTACTGGTAGCCCATTGGAGATCTGAAAGCCAGGTGCTGACATGCTCTGATCTACCTTTTACCAACTTGCTTTGTGACTTGGGCAATTAACTTCTCTGATTTTCATTCTCAGCTGTAAGAAGATAAAGAATGATGTGATTTTGAGGATTATCACTCTTTTATGTGGAGTTTATAGAGGAACTGACACATAGTAAATGCTCAATAAAATGACAGCCACTGTTCTCCTCCTTCCCTCCCCCCCACATCATTAGCAGAAATTGAATGTGTGTGTATCACAGCAGTCACTCCTTGCTTGAAAGGACTCTAACCCCTCATGGGTCTTATGCTAAGAATATGAGTCTTGACAATTGTATATTTAAGAATCTAAATCTCCTCTCATAACGCCACTACTGCTGGGCTGACACCAGCCAGTGTAGAAGCTAAGGTGAGCTGTGTACCATAGGCGCTATTGTTTATATCCCAGAGTGCTCATGCCTCATTGAAGGTTTTCCTGGGTGACTGAGATCCCAGTCAAACTCTTCTTCTAGCTCCTGAGGCTGCTTCTGCATGGATCTTAAGTGCAAAATATAACGGTTTGTTTTAAAACCTCACAACCTTTGTCATTCATCCATTCATTCAAACAGTATTTGCAGAGTGCCCTCCAAGAGCTCAAAACTATGTTAGCCATTAAAGAAAAATGAGGGCAAAGTCTGCATGTGCTCAAGAAGATTGTAACTGGTAGTGGAGGTAGGTAGAAAGCAGCTGTCACACATCCTATAACAGAGGGATTACCGAGGCCCAGAACAGAGAAGAGACTTAATACAGCCTTCCAGAGGCTATAAAGTCTTTTTCAGAGAGGAACCTTAAGGATTGGTCTTGAAACAAAGGAAGGAGTTTGCCATATGGAAAAATGGGAGGATAATAAAAGTCACACACACAATGCAAATGCCAACAGCCTGTGGCAGAATGAATGTGAAAGTACAATTATTCTACACAAAAATAGGGTTGTATGTCAGTTAGGATTCTTCTCATCACAAGTGATGGAAAATCCAGTGACCTCAACAAAAGCAAAAGACAAGATGAGGGAGAATGCTGGCTTCAGGTCCAGCTGGATTCAGAGCTCAAATACAATTAGGACTTGGTGGCCCTCCTTTACATGGTTCTCCTCTGCTGGGTCAACTCATATTTCATTTTGGGCCAGGCAGCTGGGGCCATTCTAAGCCTGCAGCCTCCAAGGCTACAGTCTAGTGTGAAAATGAAAATACTTTCTCCTGACTCTCTAGGACAAAGCTCTAGGATCAGCTCTGACTAGACCAAGTCAGCTTGGCTTGAGTCACATACCTGTACCTGAGCCAGTTACTGTGGCCTGATCACAGAGTGCTCTGATTGGCTTAGGGCTGATCCATGAGGGAGGAAACCAGCACCAGTGGAGGGCCTGCCATGGGTCAGTGTTCTGTCTGGTGTGTTGGTATAAATTAGCACCTGTGACCTTCATCACAGCTTTCCAGAGGAAGAAACTGTTATTACTGTTTTGTAGGTGAAGAAATGAAGCTGCAGGGATGAGTACTGTGCCTGTAAGCTCGCAGTAGAACCAAAATTTGGATTCCATTCTGTGGAACCCTGAAGCTCAGCATTCTAAAAGCAATCCGCTCTCACTTACTGATGCATTTAGTCTGTAATCTGGTCTTTGATTCATTGCTGATGTCATGAAAGCTCCAGACTACTCAGTGATCTGCTACCTTCCTGACCTGACTCCTCTCTTATCCCTGCAGAGCCCTTGTCTTTGTGTCCCATGGAGCTGGGGAGCACTGTGGCCGCTATGATGAGCTGGCTCAGATGCTGGTCGGCCTGGAGCTGTTGGTTTTTGCCCATGACCATGGTGAGTACGCCCAGGGCCACAGTGGGTGGGGCCCATGATTCTGGCCAGTGCCTGGCAGTTTGGGTGTCTAGAAAGGTCTAGTCCATCTTACCTTCATCATTCTTCTTCCTCAGTTATACTCTTCTGATTCCTGCAGTGAAACAGGGAAAACATATTCTCCATGGGATGTTTCTAAGTTAAAAAATACATAATTATGTAAACAAAAGGCATGTCTGACCAGCAGTTTGTGTTGCATTTGGGACCTCCACTGAAAAACCAAAGTGGGAATATGTTTATATAAGAATTTGCCCCAAGCCAAATAATGCTCTCTTACATTTATAGTGTGCTTTATGTACAAAATAGGGCCTGATTTTCTCCCAAGGGTCTCCAAAAGGATGTGGTGCAGTCAGTGCAAGGACAGTTTAAATTCTGTTTTAACAACAAAAGGTTTATAAAGAATTTCAAACCAGGAAAATAGTAAAAGTCTCAAAAGACCATATTGGTCACAAGAACACCCAAACACACATGACCACTTGCGTGCACACACATATATATCCATACACTTATGCATACATGTATGGCCCTCGGCTGAGTCTTTGATTCTTTGTCATGTAACAAAATCTGCAAAATGTACCATAAAAATGTAATATTCATTGACTTAAGTCAGTATGTAGTTCCTTAATCATTTCTGTGACATTCTCTATGGTTGAGAAGGGTCCCAATATAGATCTTTCTTTGCCTAACAGTCTTTAAAATGAAGAGTTTTCTGTGACTGAACATTGTCATCCTGTACTCCTGTGTGTTGTCAGCAGCACATTGTTGGAAGCTTTACTCCAGAGAGGACAAACACACTGGGGTCCAAGTCCCCACTGTACTGTGCTATCTTGGAGACCTGTTTAATCATTGCAAGCCTTTATTTTCTCATCCACCGAATGGGCAAGACAGATCTATAACATAATAAGGATTGTCATGTGATAATGCATGTAGAGGGCCCAGCAGGATGAGGCACCTTCTTCCCCTTTACTCTGTCTGCTCTGAGATACCCTCCACCCCACAACGCAGACTAGCTTGTGTGCTGTCTGCCCAAATGAGGGACTCCAAGTCTCTGAGAAGGACCCGCTAAACCAAGGCTGGGAGTCAGGGGCTCTGGCTTTTTGTCTTAGTGTTGCTACCCAGAGCCTGGTCATCTTTCAGTCCTGCAGAGGCTGCTGTGAAGCTAAAATGAAATGGTAGATACAAAAATGTTTTACAAAGTAAACAGAGTTACTAATAGTGGTTTTGTTGCTGCTTTCTATAACACAATTTGTAGAAACACAGGTTTCTGTAAATCTGATGCTAACTGAGTTTTAAGTTAAATCTTGTTGTTCAATTATATTACAGATTTTATTGTTTAGGCAGAAATCTCAAGACATTGTGATTGCGTCAGTCTGGCTGTGTTTCTCAATATGCCTGGCAGACTGGCATGCACAGAGAAAGCACCCAGTATTTCATTTAACTTGTTTTCCATTTTCACCTTAGAATTGTACGAGTTGACCTCATGGACATGAACAGCTTGCCAGAAATAAGAATTACTATTCCTGACATTTATTGAGTGTCAACTGCACACCAGGCTCTGTTCTAGGCATTTTTGTACATTACCTGTAATTTCTCATAACAATGAATATTACAACCTCATTTTAGAGGTAATGATGCTGAGGTTGTATAACAAGGGAGGCCCATTGTCATTGCACCAAAGTACATAACAGTCTGCTGCAGTTTGACTGTATGGCAACAGAAATCTGATGGTAGTAACTTAATAAGTTTATTTTTTTTCTCATGCTACAGAGAGTCTGAAGCAGGTGTGAGAATGCCACAATGCCATCAATGCCCAAGGCTCCATCTGCAATTTTGCTCAGTTGCTCTTAGCTTGTGTCTCTCATGCCCAAGGATGCAACTCCTCTTCATGTTCTAAGCAGGAAGGAGACACACAAGCAATACAGAGGAAAGGATTAGGCTCATATCAGGAAAGGAAATTTTTCTTGGAGGTCCCTGACGTATTCCAGCTACATTTCATTTGCCAGCACTGCATAACATGGCTACCCCTAACTGCAAGGGAGGCAGGAAAATATAATTTGTTAACTGCATATTTGCTGATCCAAACAAAAAAAGGTGCTGTAAGAGAGATGTAAAGAATGCACATTGCTAGTAGCCATCTTGTCCTCTGCCATACCACACTCCAAGTTTATTATTTAAGAGCATTTCTCAACCATTTCTTCTTGATATGTTTTCTATATTATCTATCCCTATGTTCTTTCATAAGGTTTTGATGCAAAGGTTATTATTAGCATCAACAGTAAGAAGTGGTTAAAGTTCCTAATTAGCCCTGGGTTAGGTGTTACACAAGGAGAAATGCAAGGACATGGTAACTGATGTGCTCATGGTAGAGTGACCTGTCTTTACCAGAAAAATTAAGCAGCCTCTATTTAGTGCTCAGCTTTGTTAGAGTATTATCCTGAGTGGTAACTATCCCCTCATGGTGGAGGCAGCAAGCTCCTGGCAGACAGACTGTCTTATTGTGAGAGCTTCTCTCTCTACCTCCAAAACCTTCTAATCTGCTATGTGCATCCCAGGACTGCACGGAGTAGAGGCTTCATCAGTGGTAATTGAATGAATGAATGAATGAATGGGTGAGTTAATGATCCAAAATAGGTCAGACCAGAAATGTTTAAAATAGGAATGGTAAAAAAAGTACCCACATTAACAGGGCACTATTGAATCTTATCCTTATGAAGAGGATCCAGCAGAGTGGCCACTGGAACTCTGAGTCTGGTGGCCAATGTTGGGGTGGAGGTAACAATCAAGTAGAGCAAACATATAATGTGGATGGAGGCTGAGACAGAGGCAGGATACAGAACCTCAGAGGCACAGGGCTTTCTCAATGCCTGGAGAGGTGAAAAGGTGGCTGGGTCTTTTTTCGTGAGAAGGAGCTTGCCAGAAGAAGAAAGGATGTGGAAAGAGGCAACAATTATTGAGAGCTGTGGTTCCCATATTTGCTGCCCACTTAAAAATACTGAGAAGTCTTAAAAATACTGAAGCCTGGGTCCCCTCTCTCCACAGAGACTGATTTCTTGGGATTTTTGATGTGGCTGGAGCATCAAGATTTTTAAAATCACCCAAAGCTGAAAACTACCCTTCTAGGCAGAAGAGATCATAGGGGAGAAAAAACAAAACAAAACAAAACACCAGATATACCAGATCACATGCTTATGAAAAAACAAAACAAAACAAAACACCGGATATACCAGATCACATGCTTATGTCCTGATCAGGTAGAAATCCCAGCTGGCACAAGGATTTCTCTAGACCCTCAGGTTTAGAAATAGAAATGACAGGGGAGCCTCTGCTAGGAAGCTCAAGGCTCTGTAATAAGTCCTTTTGGACACTTGGAGCTTGTGAAAGAATTTAAGCCAGGAAAGATAAGATGTCTCTTGGATACAGCAAGGGCCACCAAGAGTCTTTTGGAACCATGAGGAGACAGGGGCCAGGACAGGGCCCAGTGATGAATAGGCCTGGGTCAGCAGAAGTGGCGTTGCTGCGGGGATATCTGAACAGGTGGAAACCACAGAGGCTGGGATTTTCTGTGCTGTTCTAAATATAGCACAGAGAGAACCAGGGCTCTCTCACCAGCCAGTCCCTCAGTCACCAGCTGCTCTTGGTGACTCACTGGAAACCCCTCAGCCTTCCTGGCAACCAGAGCCGCAGTGCAACCAGGAGAGAGGGGTGAAGAAGGCAATGTATATGCAGGAAGACAGGACAATGAAGCCTTGTAATCCCTGAAATGAGCAAATTGAACGTGTTGTTCAGACCACAGGTGACAAGGCCATTGGCCAGGTCACCCTTCCCAATAAACAACCTCCTAATTCTGTGCAGTGGCCCACTTAAAATGACTTTTGCTGGGGCTGGAGATGCTCTCTATTTACAAAGTATAGAAGAATCATTCTATGATTCAACAATGAATTAATTATTTGCAAATCGTTGAGGGAATGTGTTAAAGGAAGTTTATTTTGTTTTTGTTTTGGGGTTTTTTTTATGGCTTAGGTGCATTTTATGGGTTTTCTTTTAGAGTTTTTTTTTTTTAAACTATGTTGGAGCATCTGGGAAGAGGAAGTTCTGAGGGAATGTTTGTGGGTGGCAGTTATGCCTGAACTTGGGAGTGGGGCTACCCTGTCCAGAGAACAGTATTTACAAAATTCTGGGGAGAAAGATGATACATGTATATTTTCCGTACAGGGAGACAGGTTTGAGTCAAGGTACCTTGCTTGATCTATTCTAAAATAGACTTCCACCAGTTACAGTAATATATTTTTGTTTGAATTGTTTTAAAATTATGTTAACAATTTTTCTTAACTTAGTAAATATCAGAGTTAAAATAGTAGAGTGAGTGGTGTTTTGATGCTTCACAAGGCCCAACCCTGGGTTAGGGTTAGTGAACTCTCTGCAAGCGCCTCAGGCATGGAGGGCTCAGTTGTACCTCCTCCCTCTTCGAGGTCTCTGCAGTTCCCTTCCTCGCCACCTCCCTTCCCGCTTTATTCATATTTAGGCATACCCAAACCTTCAATCTTGGATATAAACTTCTGACATGAGTTTATTTGGTCACTTGCTTCTTTTGTTAATAAAGCAGAGGCTTCCATGAGCCTCAGTTTGCTCATCTATAAAATGAGGATAATAATAATAAAAGTTGCATCATGAATGTGGAATAAAATGGGAGAAAGAAGAGTTCTCACTGTCTCTGGAAGGCTTGTGGAAACCCAGATGGCTGAGCTCCAGATAGCTGGCTTCTCAGACTGTTGGATTCTATTGGGCAAATTCCAGAAAGAAGGGAGCCAGGGTCATCACAGGTGTTTGTGTGTGTGTGTGTGTGTGTGTGTGTGTGTGTGTGTGTAGAATTTAAATAATGTGCAGTGTAGGTATAGTCAAAATTGGAAATACAGTATTTGCAATAAGCAGATTCAGCATTTCCTACAGCAGATATTATATGAGAA